CTGTATTATGATTATTGCTAATGAGCTATATACTAAAAAGTAATCTGTCATCTTCTTGTCTGTTTTCAAATTGTGTTGAAAAAGGATATGATATAATCAGAAAGCTTAAGATTATAGAAACAGCTTGGTGTCTTTTAGGAAGAACAGGTAGTTGCTCATACTGAGCCCTTTAGAAAAATCTCTCCACAAAAGCAAGTCCCTAGATGGGAGCTGAACTCCTGAAAATCGATTCCTTCAGGCTTCCTTGCCATCTGTTGCTCTGCCGGAACAACAGTCCAAGGCCGGCCTAAGCGGGGGCTGCAGCTGGAGAAACTTTGCCCGCAGCTGAATTCTCTTCTTCCAAATTTCTGATAGGAGATTTATTCCTTCTGTCACACATTACCTTGTTTTGGGACATGCCAGGGACACTGAAAACACGGTGAGTTACTGTGATGTCCCCAAGAAAAAGATTATTGTGTGAGGTCAAATACCCCTACGGCCAGCACTTGTCACGGGTGCTTAATGCTTCGCAGTCAGGCTCTGCTGAGCTGACGGGCTTAGCATTTCTATTTGGCATCCCTGGCCCAAAGCAGATGAGAATGACCCCTTTTGTCCTGGCGGGTATTATCAGGCAGCTTTGGAAAATGAGCGCTGTTGAATGAAAAGAAAGCGGCAGATGACATTTTGTTTTCTGCATGGGCTAGTGTATGGGTTCTTTGTTTTTCAGAAATGGTTTTCAAGAAGATGTGCTAATATTGCTGCTGTTTTAGCAGTAGCTCTTTTGTTCAAGCCTGAATGTAGAATTCTGGGAGTTGGCGTGCCCATTTATAGTAGTGAGCTCTTTCTTTGTAAAATCCCACAGATACCCAAAGTATGAATATGTATATTCTGAATAAGTCTTTTTTTAAAAAAAAAAATTACTGTAACATTCCTTTCCTGGAGCATAATCTTATCCCTGTTAAAAAACCCACATGATCATATTTTCAGAATAAATTCTGAAAGATTTTGTGTGTGCGCTGAGATTACACTTACCCTGACTAAAGACACACGCTTACTATGAATAATTACACTCCCTATGGGTTAGGGACTGCTGTCTGTACTGAGCACAATACACATGCCCTTTGATTTAAGCTGTGTGTCACCAGGCATTAGGTCTGGACACTGTGTCTTTCAAAACACAGCTATCACATGTACAGGTCTGGAAATCTGACTTGGAGGTGTCTTAGTCCTCCTCATGGCTGTTTTCTCCAGCTGACCAGAGAGCTTTTCTGCATTCGTGCTGTGCCGGGGAGACACGGAGGCTGCCGAACAACCACCTACGTTGTGTCGGTAAAAGATACCGTGAGTGTTGCGCTCACGGAATGGGTCAGGTTTGAAAGTGCGTGTCTTCCGCATGGAGGGTTTGGTTGATGTTTTCACGACTGATTTGAGAATCGTTTTGGAGCCAGGAGCCTCAGCTGGATTTTCAAATGTGCCATCAGCCTGACTAGATGGAATCATGTAGCCTAAGTTTTGATCATCCCATTGTGGTCCATGTCCATTAGGAGTCTTTATGGATGGGCAGTTTGGCTCCTTTTGGAGTCTTAAGCAGAGGAGGGTGGTGTTCTTGGGGTCATTCTCGTAGTGCTTTGTGAATAGAAGTCAGTGAGCCCAGCTGGGTAAATAGATTCAGCTGAACAAAGGGTCCGTCATCTTTAGGGCTGGTTTGGTTTGTGTAAAGATTTCTAAAATTCACCGGAGTGATGTTCCAAGGTTCACTTGTTTCAGCAATAAAGAAGTAGCCGTGACACGGATCATCTGGCAGCTGGAGGCGGGTGAGGTCACAGTGTCAGGTGCCAGGCTCGTGAGCGTGATGGATGAAGAAGGTGCTAATGAAGGGCAGGGCTTGAGTAGAGTAATACTCTACTGACTCTAGACACACTCTACCTGTTTTGTTCTCTTAAGAACTACCAAGGGATTCACCAGGAACGGGTGTCTAGAGACTAAACATTCCTTCATTTCTGTCTTCCCAAAAGCCTCTGCACCCCTGCACCCGTTTCCCTAACCCTGGCACATCATAGTCACTGAATACACTGTCCTTGCAGCTTCTCCTCGTGCCTGCCAGCGTGTGGCTTCACCATCAGCAAAGCCCTTGGTCCCCTGCTTATGGGGAGGAACAGAGAGGGAGGGGCTGAGGGGGCAGACAGACACACACTCAGGGCAGCTGAAACTGATTGTGAAACCAGAACCTCAGACAGGCTCCGAAACTTCTTCCACACCCTTTCCCGTCCATTAACCTCTGCTGAGCAGTGCACAGCCTGGACGGGCACAGCTAAATACAGAACCGTGGGAATCCTGTTTCCCAGTTAGAGACTGACCTCGACAGAGGCCCTGGATGGATCTGCTGGAACTGCTTGGCAGTCTGGCTGTGGCTTCTTTAGAAGGGCAGTGAGGGGAAACAACTTGAAGGCAGAAAAACAACTTCCTCATGTTCCTACTGGTAGCAGTCAAGCCCTCTGGGTTTGGCCCCGTGCCCTGTAACTGCCAGCGGAGTCTCCTGGCAAAACAGCAAGCGAGCCGGTGTAAGGGGGCTGGTTTGCTGGCCAGACTAAACACAGCGTCATTGCCAGGACCTTCCAGTTCAATTCAGTCTGGTTTATGTACTGTTCTTTATTCCACTCTTTCTGGTTCTTTTCCCTTCGGTATTGCCCACCACTCTGGTACTCTGTGCTGCAGACTGTTAGTAAACTCCTTGTTAATCTCACTGGGATTGAGACCTGTTGCTTCGAAATGTCTTGGCTCCTGTATATAAGTACCTGTGGCATCAGGAGAGCTGTTGTAAACCTCTGAATGGACAAGGGGTCTTGTCAAAGAGTTTTTGTCATTCTGTAGATTGGCAAATCCTCATCTACTTTGTCATTCACTTCTCAAAGAATACCTTGCCAGGCATGAGTTATGCAAATAAAGGTTGCTCCTTCCCCAGGAGACTGGATTTATTTGTGTCTACTTATTCCATTTTTAATCAGTTTGTCAGCTCTGAAAGACTCAGTCTTACTGTTCTGCTGGTTTTGTTGTAAAATATAATGGTTCTCATGTTTTACCTTTTCCTTTAATACATGATAAATTTCTCACCACAGTTAATAAAGCAATGCATTTGAGTTTGTGTAGAACTCCTGGGTGAAAGCTGTCTGGCTTATACATATTGTAACTTCAGATTTGGTCAGGTTTTGGGAGAAGACTCTTTTACGCATGCTTCAGTTTGAGACAGTTCCTTGGAACTGACCTTTCAAAAGTAATTCAGATTCAAAAGTCATTCAAGGCAAATACATAATGAATATACATTAAAAAAAAATCCTTGCAAATTTCTTCTGCTTTAAAAAGAAGGTTTGTATCATAAGTAATTCACTAAATTATTCACTGACAACTGCAGATCTGCAGATACCTTTAATATTGAGAAGAGTTTACTTCCAAATAAGTTCTGCTTGGCTCTTGCTCTTAGGCCTCTAAAGTTCCGCCTTTCCCATTGCTAAGAGTCAAAGTGGCCATAGCAAGGCAATATCATCCATGACTTCTGTTTTGGTGATAATAAACTTGTGAAAATAATGGAAGTAACTGGACTCCATTCTTTTGTGGGCAGCTGTAATCAGAAGATTTTGCAAGATTCTTTAATGTAGTTGGAATGTGTATGTAGTCTTTTGACCTTGCTCTTAGTTTCTGATGACCGTGGCATGTTAATTGTTGATAATTGGATTTGCTCTAGGCTGAAACCTGTCCTGCTCCCTGCAAAGCAGATCAGATCTTCCATTGCAAGAGGCACTCAGAGGGGCTACCTTAGAAATTGCAAGGCCATGACTGCTAAGAGTAAGGACCCCTGAAATATAGCAATTTCTTAGGAAGAACATGGTATCCTAAGGAATGCTTCTCTTTCAGCTTAGTTTGAATTGGACTTTTGACCCCAACATTTTTATCTTGTTCTTTATAGTGTTATTTTTTATGCCATCTGATTTGCTTCATAACTCAGGCTGCCCTACTGTGAAAGCTGCCTTGCAGCTTCAGCGAGTGGGAAGTGACTCCTAGGTCTGAGTGCAAGAGGTGCTTTTTACTCTGTTCTTGAAAGGGAATTCGACTATCCTTGTTTAAGCCAGGTGCATATGAGGCCTCTAATCCAAACTAGTGTTTAACTTCCTCCTCCAGCCAGCGAGGAGAGGAGAAAATCTTCAGAGATTTATTGCATCCAAATATCAGTGTTCAAAATAGATGCGATTAATTGTCCTATGGAGATGTATGTCTCTTTCCACTGAGTAGAGAAGAAGCCTAAAAATTAACTTTGTCTTGCTGTCAATTTTTTTTAGAAGACTAAATTTAGAGGAAGTTAATCCTGTTTCACAGAAGTACTGAGTGACATTTATAAGTTTGCAAATAGCAGTCTGTCCAACCAGGTATCTGCTGGTCCCTGCTTGCTTCAGTTTAAAGGTGATGTGGTCTTCATATTGCGTCTCGGGGGAGGATGAGGAGAGTGTCTGACACCTGTATGAAAGGATTATGGTGCAGCAGTCAGGAACAGCAGCAGGCACGGGCAAGGAACTGGAGCCAAAGAGATTTTTTTTAAACCTCTCCAGAGGGATCGGTGCAACGGTCCAACCTGCACTTTGTTTTTCAAGCCATCCCTTATCGGTCTGTCTATGACAGAGTTGTTGGAACTGGTCTTCTTTCTTATTTTAAGCTTTCTGCGTGGGAGGAGTAAAACTGCTTGTACCGAATGTGATTGAGTGATAGTTTGCACAGTACAGCATTGTTTGCCCGGCTCTTCCCGTTCCTGGTGAATCCCTTGGTAGTTCTTAAGAGAACAAAACAGGTAGAGTGTGTCAGACCAACAGTCTCTGCAGTCCAATGTCCTCTTCCTGCCAGTGACTAACAGATGCTGATGTGCTTTTCTCTAATCCTTTCCCAGCCTCCCTCTATTTTCAGCTTAGGAGACTTTCCAGCCATAAATCTTTCTCATTGCATGAATTGCAGCTGACTTTCTTTCTCTTATGTTTTAGAACTAAAAAACCAAAGAAGGCATCCTCCTCTCCAACCAAGGAAGAGAAGCCCAAATTAAGCATTTTTGAAGAGGAAGTAGATCCAGATGAAGGACTTTTTGGCCCAGAAAAGGATTTCTCATCCAGTGGTCCCAGGAAGAAGATGAAAGAGAGTAAATCTGTTCTATATTTGTACATACACAGATTGTTTCATCTAAAGCATATGTATAACTGAGCTTTTAAATGTAGTCATACAGAGTAGCAGGCTAAATAATGACTTGGGAAGGCCAAGGCAAATCTTCAGCTGCAGCAGAATCATCTAGAATCATTCAGAAAGAATAAAAAAGACCTGCAGTTCCCATACCTGTTCACTGTTGACATTTTGGGCTGGGATGTTTTAGGTCAGTGGGAGCTGGCTGTCCCACAGGCCACACTGACAAGAGTAGTGTGACCTACTTGTGAGCGCAAGAAGAAAGCAGATTTGCCATGTCCTGAGAGTGCAAAGTATTGCTACACTTTGTGGACCAGTAGTCCTTGTAACAAAAGAATTGCCTATGTGAGCTTTTTTTTCAGCCCAGTAACCAGATTTACCAGCTAATGTTAATGCACGTATTGTGTTACATATCGTGATCTAACTTTAGCATTTTCTGATTCCCCTTTCTAGATCTGAAATTATTTGAAGATCCAGACCTTGGTGGGGTGGTGAGACTTGGTGACTCACTGCTGCTGCCAGCTGCCTGCAGGGACAGGGAGTGTGTGCTGAACACAGATCCTGAGGAGGACACTGAGGAGCTGCTGAGGTACACATCTCAAATCTGTAAAAAAGGTGATCTGAGGGGTTATTTAGACCTCCAAAGAGATGAATTTGAAGGCAGAACTTTACTTGGAATGCTAACTATGAACTTGTACTTACAAGTAAAAGGTAAGATACGTGTCATGGAGCTTGGAAATCGAACACATTAGAAAGGAAATTAGGAAGATCCTTTGAGAAAGGTAAGGTGCAGGGTATTATTCTCTGACTCCAAGGGAAGGGTCTTGAAGGCCCAAGGGATGCCATCTAGTCCTTGTTATCCAACATGACACTTCTGCTTTCTGCAAGGGATCGACAGCAGGTGAAAACTGACCTTCATTATGGAAAGTGAGAAACAAAGCCCAGAAACAAAGAGGGATTCAGCTTCAGCTGAAATCAGGGGCTCTTGCCATAAGAGGAGTGATCTTCTGCTGGTGGCACACAGATCTCCAGGCACATTCCCAGGAGGAATCCTGTGCACACCTTCACAGCTGTAAAGGACTCATTAAAATCTCTGTCACCCTGCATTTAATTTTTAATGTAGTGGAAAGGAGGGACAAAGCTCAGAGATACTGGAAGGAGTAATATACTTGTTCTTACACTTACCTGCCCCCTTGCTAGTGTAGCACTGGAACGTATCATCGCATAATGTGTTTAATTCCTGACATCTCTCTCACAAAGCTGGTTTGCCTGCACTGATAATCCTCAAGAGATCAAGCAGGAAGCCAATGCTCAGACACACCAGCATCACCGAGGATTCTGTGCTGCAGTAAACAGTGAGATTCATGCCTCCTGGATCTCAGGCTGGCATCTGAACGATGAGACCAACCCGCTTCCAGTACTAATTCTTACCAGGCCGCTCCTGTTAGGATGTATGATTTCCGCAGCAGGTACTAAACCCAGGAGAGAGAACCTGTATGTGGTTTCAAACCTCTCCTGAAGCTGGTAGTTCTGCAGCTATTGCTTTTGACACATGCAAGAGTGCTGTCTATCTCAGCGGTAATACCTGACTTAATTTAAGCGAAGGTTAAATTGTGTTGGGTGCCATCTCACATTACATCCTGACAGCCCACCTAATGTTTACAGAAGCTGGTGGAACAGGGCATGACCTGCTTTAGTGCTGTGATATGTTGGGAGCAAACACATATGTGCTTGCAGTATTTTTGTGTTTGCTTTCTCCTCTGCCAGCAATCTCAACGCACAGCTCTTGATACAGATTATTCATACAGATAGAAGTGTCTGTTTCAATGCAGTCCTTGCATTTTTATCCACTACTGGAGAGAGCCTCTCCATCTATTTGAATTAGGTCTCCTCTCCTTCTGTGTCAGAGAAAGGTCTCTGAAGTCTGCTCTGAGCCCAATAGACAACGTTTTTAGATCATTTTGAGGTTATCGATGTTAGCAGCACACCCAGATGGTTATGGAAGCCCATGGGAAAAGATTCCATTTCTTTTAAATTCCAGTAGTTTTCATTTATTCTTGAATTGTCCCAGTGCTTTCAGTAGTTGGCAAGATGCGACTGAAAATGAATACATAGAATGAAGCAGAAAATCAGGCCAGTGCTCCAGTGGGAAAGTTGCTATGGGGATCCAGAGACAACTTCTGTCTGTGCAAGAGATAAAGGCAAATAGGGCAGGATCTGTTGGCCTGTTCAGGTGCCTAATGCCCTCTGAAAGCCTCCTGATAAAACTAGTTCACAGTGTTATCTGAACATCGTAGAGAGTTGGTGGACTGAATGCAAGGCAATTGGGAGCCTGTATGTAAATTCATTGCAGTCACGCAAAATCCTGTAGCTGAACTTTCTCAAGCGGTTATACACAATGCACTTTGTGTTCCGTTCTGCTGGAAACCATAGCAGAACTGTCAGGTCTTATAAATGTAGAGGCAGCATTTGAATCGTCTCCCACCTTCCCTTACCATCAGACTAGTGTTACACATTCTTGCAGGGCAGTGCCACGGTTTCTTTTCCAAACAGAGGAAGTGTTTAATGTGAGCTGAACCCTGCAATCTGTAAGAGTGAATCTTGCCTTTGCCTTGCAGATGTTGACAATCCCTCTCCTTTCCCAAAGGGGACCAAAGCAATCTCTTCTCTGCCCTCAGATCAAAGCAGGAGCTGTGACAACTCATTCCTTTAGTGGGCTAGAGCTGGCTAGGCTACTAGGGGAAAATGGCAAATGTCTTGGTCTACTGGACATACTCCGTTATACCATAGAGAAGATTTTCCTGGCCACTTCTTGTCAAGACCTAGAACTAGCCTGAGCTGTGATGCACCAGCAGGTCTGTGGTAGGTCCAGAAACTTAGACATATTCACTGTACGCAGCTGGATTAGCTGAATGATGCAGAAGTGGGAACTCTCAACACAAGTAGTGTACATTTGTGTGTACCACAGGGTCTCTTCACATGCATGTGGTACATCCAAGAAGCATCTGACTTATTGGAAAACGTACTTTCCAGTGAGTCGTGGGCAGAGGTAGGAGAGCACTGCCTAAGCCAGAGGAAGGCAGAACCTTCTTCCAAAGGGGAGATGGGAAAAAGATGATGTTCAGAACAGAACACAGGAGCAACCAAGTCCTTCATGATCTTCCTGGTACCCGAGTGGTTGTAGCAGCGGTAGCACCACAGCACTGTCAGCACAGCACTGAATCCCCAGCAGTGACTTGAAACTCTTAAGGAAGAGACTGTTATGGAGACAAATGAGTCTGGAAAATGTGCGTGGGCTGTGCTTGTCACAACACAAAAATGATAAACATTCTCATTGCAAACTGAAGACTGTGCTCTCTCTGGATACCAGCTCAAATGAAATGAGAATTACTATTTTAAATAGAATCACCTACTTTGCATTAACAAGCGTTGAGCTTTGAGAAGAGCCAGTTACCTGTAAGTGAAATAAACCATCTCTTTTTATGGCAAAATACTTATGTCCATTCAAACAAATCTCTTCCTTCTTCCTGTCCGTTAACCAGCCTTTTACTGATTGCCAGTTTCTTGGCCTACTAACAAATATTAAGTGATGGTGATGGAGAATTTAGGGGAGTTATCTCACTCTAACCACTGGACTATAAGTGCAGGGACTCTTTCCTACCACTAGATCTGTACTTGCATGTCCTTCTAGAACTTGTGGAGAAATAGATAAATTGTAGGATCCAGCAAGGTCAAGTCCCATCGTGTTGGCTTCAGGAAAAAAGGAACACGTCATACTCTTCCTTCATGGGGTGTGGTTTGAGAAAGGAAGGGTTAAGTAACCAAGTCTTGGCTTATCTCTTCACCACAGGGATACAGAGGAACCCAGGCTCTCCTGAGAAGTCCTTGGGTCCCTTTGGTTTTGACTCTTCCAAGGTGCAAGGTGATCAGCTGCAGTGAGATCAAAGGGTAGCTGATCAACGTTTTCCCAGATGTCAAAAGAATTACCCTTGGAAATGGACTTAGGACCAGGCTTCTCCTTTATCCTATCATTATCCTGAGTCACATCATACCATGTAGTGATTACTTCTGGATGCATTTAGCCATTTACCTCCACCCTGAAAGCTCATTCTCAGGTCTGATTTCCATTTAAGCTAGAGACAGGAGTCAGCTGCTTCAGAAATCAGTATCCTGCAAAGTCTCCCATCGTGGATTCGCATGCCATCTTATTTTCTCAATTCTGCCCGCCCAGTGGCCACAGATGTGCAAATTAAGTTTTCATGCAGCAGGGCTGCAGTCGACCTCTTCTGCCTCATTAATCTAAATTGTGCCTGCCTGGTGTGATGGATCAGGTTTTTGTGGAAAACCAATGCTAGAATTGATCGCGTGAATGTTGCAGCAGCTCTGCGGGCCCACAGAATTACATAAATTATCACACATCCTAGCCTGAAATAATTATAACAGTTGTCTGAGCAGCTTTTTAGGTGAGATTTAATTAACTTCACCTTTGATAATGAATAGGTAGTTGAACTGGAAGGAAGCAGCTGTCAGTGTAACATTTGTCTTTTTCCAGTGCTGAGAAAAGTGTCAGCAGCCCTACACAGTTCTGCTGCCTCGTAACGGCAGATGTGGTGAGTTCTTTCCTAGGGTTACGCTGATCTAAGACTGCTGATGTTGAAAAGGACAGTCCAGTTCTTAACTTGGTGCTACAGCTGCATCACCCTGCCTATGCCCTTATACAGACGAATTCTGTCTATATTTACAGGTTGGTCTGTTTTTACAGTTGAGAGCTGTGCTGCAGTAAGCTTTTTGTGAAACCACATCCTAACAGTGACCATTTCTGAAGACCATTCAGTCCATGCAGGTTTGTTAGCTTCAGGTTTGCAAAAATAACCTGTCCCCACCCTTGAAGCAGAAAAAGTTTGTATGTTCTTCAGCCAGAAGGTACGGAATTCAGAGGGCAGCACTTCCATCTTCAAAGTAGCCAGGGGTCATATGGGACACCATCTCCAGCACCACATGGTGAGAAGTGCTTTCTCGCTGTCCTGAGGGTATGGAAGCAGCACCATGGTTGGGAGAAGAGCTTTGAGACACTCCAGAGGGTTTAAATCTCAATACTTTGGGCAGAGGATTGTGTTGGTGATGGGCGAGTGGTAGAGGACGTTGCATTAACCAAGTCAGAAATATCCTGACTACTCCAAGTTTCCTTTACTTGCCGTGATCTGACTGAAGGACCTTGATTTGACTGCAAATCAATTCTTCTTTTCCCACCAGTAGGTTTTCTTTGCTGCCCAAGAGCACTTTCTGTGATGGGGATTTTTTTTCATTTTTCCTGTGATGTACAGGGGTGCCACTTACAAACACTGAAAGAACTACAAAGTAAACTTGGCCAACAGACTAGAAAGCCTTTTGCAAGAGAGGAAGCGTTAATTCTTGTCCCACCCCTAGGAACATATATGAGTTGTATAGAATAATGCAGAGAGAGGTGATGTAGAGTCAGTCTCTCCTAGTGTAGCGAGAGATGCTTTTGCTAGGCTGGAGCGTCACCAGATTTCAACTATTTTTCCCCAAGTTGCTTATATTTTTGACAGATAATCTTCAACTGCAGGG